CCCTAAACCCTAAACCCAAACCCACTCGAAGCCTCAACTCCTTCCTTCGTCGGCACTGGGGCACCGGGGACCTGGAAGTCTTCGGTTCAGGTGATGCACACGATTTTGGGTTCACGGTTTAGGGTTTAGNNNNACGATTTTGGGAGTTTCCGAAAATTAGGGGTACCCTATTTGGGGGTTCTCATAATAAGGATCCTACTATTTAGGGTGCTATATTAGGGTCCCCTATTTTCGGAAACCCCCCATTTTGGGTTCAGGGTTTAGGCTTTGGGGCTTTGGGTTTAGGCTTTGGGGCTTAGGATTTTGGGGCTTAGGGTTTAGGCTTTGGGGCTTAGGGTTTAGGCTTTGGGGCTTAGGGCTTAGGATTTGGGGGTTCAGGGTTTAGGCTTTGGGGCTTAGGGTTTAGGCTTAGGGGCTTAGGGTTTAGGCTTAGGGGCTTTGGGCTTAGGATTTTGGGGCTACGATTTTGGGAGTTTCCGAAAATTAGGGGTACCCTCTTTGGGGGTTCTCATAATAAGGGTCCTATTATTTAGGGTACTATATTAGGGTCCCCTATTTTCGGAAACCCCCATTTTGGGTTCAGGGTTTAGGCTTTGGGGCTTAGGGTTTAGGGCTTAGGATTTTGGGGCGTAGGGTTTAGGCTTTGGGGCTTAGGGCTTAGGATTTTTCGGGCTTAGGGTTTAGGTTTGGGGCTTAGGGTTTAGGCTTTGGGGCTTAGGGCTTAGGCTTTGGGGCTTAGGGCTTAGGCTTTGGGGCTTGGGGCTTAGGATTTTGGGGCTTAGGGTTTAAGCTTTGGGGGCTTCGGGTTTAGGCTTTGGGGCTTATGGTTTAGGCTTTGGGGCTTAGGGTTTAGGATTTTGGGGCTTAGGGTTTAGGATCTGGGGTTTAGGGTTTAGGATTTGGGGTTTAGGGTTTAGGATTTTAGGGTGTGGACTACTTGCCTGAAGGGCTTGTGCTTCGTAGGAGGAGCGGATGGATGGACCTGAATTGCTACTGCAATTATACACGGCCCGCCGAATAAGAGCTTGGTGCTATGATGCCGCTGAAACGCTGAAAGTCACCGATCATCGGCACTCTTGCGATTCTGAGTCTTGTTGCTATCGTTACTATTGCTACCATTTACTGCTGTTGTTGCTGCTATGGCCATCCTTGCTTATGATTCTGACTCTCTTACAGCTTCCGAGACGACAGGGCGGCTCCTTCTTGCCAAAAGTGCCTTGGAGGGTTGGTCGGTCTGCTGAAGCCATGATTTCGAGAAGAGCGCTTTGTCAAAAGGGCATGATTCATGAGGGTTTAGGGTTTAGGGTTTAGGATGAGAACATCGGGGTCTTGGGATGAGAGGCGGAACTATAATGAACTATGTAGTAAGGATTCTGGTCTTAATGCAGACTCAGACCTCGAGTACACCCACCCATATTCTAGAAGGGCCCTTCACATTCGGATCCGATCATAATGCCTTTCAGGAGACGTGGCAAGTAAGTTAGAAATGGCGATGCAACTGCCCTAAACTCCTAAACTAGACTGTGCTGAGTATAAGCCATCCTGTGGGATTCCCGTGGCAGGAACCCTAAAACCCTAAACCCAAAAGCCTTGGCCCAAAACCCCACCCCTAAACCTTACAACCCTAAAGCCCCTACAGCAACACAGCAAAGACAAACCCTGAAATGCATACGTGCCCAGTATCCTGGGGGAACTAAAGGGTAACCTTTAGAACTATATAGGGGTTATAGTATCTCAGAACGGTTAAAGCGCGACGTGAGATAAGCTGCGTCCCCAAGCGGAAGTTGTGAGTCAAGAAGGTTTACGGTTAGCCACTCCACTACTAAAACCCGTATGGCGCACCGAAAAGCCTAAATCCTATAACCCAAAAAATGTGGCGCACCTTGCCCCCTGTGGCCGCAGGTGTCGTCGCGGCCTCCGAACCATCACAGCATCTTTATTGGGGTTTGCGGCTTCAATTTGAGGTTAGGGCTCATAAACCGGGTTCCTTTTTAAGTCCTTTCTATACGGGTGCCGTAACCCGCAAGTAAACGCCAAGAGACCAAGAGCCTCATTGTAGAACCCCTGCCCTATATAAACAGACACAAATAGACCACATGGAACGGGCATGCCTTCTCCTCACCTGGGGCAGCCGTCGTCGGGGCCTTCCCAGGCAGTGCTTGGATGACGGCGGCATCAAATTAATACATGGGGTAATAGGTGCTTAAGTATTGACTGGGTTTTCAACGTGTCATTACGCAGAGGTCCCAACGTTTAGAAATACAGGTTCCCGGGTCTTGTCAGCATTCCTTCAAAAGCTCTACAAGTACTCGAGCAACCAATAAGCCGAACAAACCATATGAAACACTGATGCAAGTCCTGCAGGCTGTCTTCAGCACAGTCCGCAGGCTGCTTCAAGGATTAAGGAACTTCGGTTTCGGGCTTAGGGTAGTAAGCGTAGAAATGCGCCCTACTTACGAGCCACGTCCTCAGTCCCTGAGCCCTTTACTCTGATCATACCTTATGGCATCAACCCCATATGAAACCCGAAACCCTGCGCAGATGAAAAGTGAAAAATAACTCACTCTCTCTCTCTCTATGTATGCATACGTATATACATACATACACACATACATACATACATACATACATACATACATACATACATACGTACATACATACATACATGCATACATACATACATACATCCATGCATGCATGCAAGATCGGAAGAGCG